CTTGGCCCCCTCGCCCCCCGCCTCTGCTCCGGGCCTGTCCCTTACCCGTGTCGACCATGGCATCAACCACGACAGGCTTGGACCAGGCGCTCCAGCTGCCCTGGTACCGTGGCCCACTGGGCTGGGCTCGCACCTGGGCGTGGTACCGGGCACCTGGCCGTAGGTCCAGGACTTCTTTCCTGGCTGCACGTGGGACCTGCAGGACCTGTGGGGCAGAGCCAAGCTGGAGACGATAGCTGCTGTGGGGTGGCCAAAGGGCAGCACTGGGGCATGGGTCCATCTTGCCTGACCCCGTGTGGGCCATATGCTTGTAGCAGAGGTGGGCAGGGCTGCTTGGGGGAGCCCTGGCCATGCCTTACCTTCCAGTCATAGCTGTTCTCCACAGCATAGCGGACCTGGTAGTCCAGCTGCTCTGCCAGCACCTCCAGGGGTGGCAGCCACTGCAGGCTCAGCCGGCCTTGTGACACTGTTGCGTGCACAATCTGTGGGGCCTCTGTGAGCACTGTTGGGGATGTGGCACCGCCATGGAATGGGACATGGGATGCTGCGTCCCCCATAAGCCAGGCTTGGTCAATGACAGGAGCCGTGGTGGCAGTGGGACTCACCAGCCTGGTGCAGCCAGAAGGGCTCCTTGAAGTAGCTGAGTGTGGACAGTGCATGGGGCTGGGTGACATTCACAAGGATGGAGATGGCACTGCCAGCCCTGGGCTGGAAGGTGCAGGTGTGGGAGCCCAGTGCCTCCACGCTCACCTCCTCACACTGCTGCCATGCATCTTCCCTGTGTAAGGAGCAGGGAGCTGGTCAGCCCCACTGTGGTGGCCCCACTCCCCCCACCTGCTGCCAGCCCTGCTTTGGGGACACCCTTGTCCCCACAAGCCAACACTGCCTGTAGTCAGAGGGGCAGTGTGGCTGGGAGTGGTGGTGAGGAGGTGAGAGATCCATGGTGGAAGGGCAGGGCACAGGGGCAGGGTGCAGTGGGATATGGGACACAGGCAGTCCCTGAAATGTGCCACCCCTTAGCCTTAGAACTGTCCCACTGCCATGCCCCTTACCTTGTGCCAGTCCCACTTGGAGGTGCCCGGTAGAAGAGCTGGTGGGAGCTGGGGGGTTCTGCGGGGTCCCAGCTCCACTCACAGCGCACATGCTGCAGGTCAGAGGTGCTGCAGCACAGCCCGATGTCTCCTGGGCAGATGAGAGCCAGAGGAGGGAGGGGGCTGCTACCCCTTGGCCCCCCAA